GTATATACTCAACAGAAAAGGAAACATGAAAACTTGTATGCCAGTATTCATAACAACATTATTTATAATACCCAAAAAGTGGAAACAACATAAATGTCCACCAATGAATGAATACATAAAAAGAATAAGGTCTACCTATACCATGGAGCATTATTTGGCAATAAAAAGAATAAAGTCTGGTTGGGCGCTTGTAGCTCAGGGGTTAAGATGCCGGCCACGTTCACTGGGGCTGGTGGGTTTGAACCCAGCCTGGGCTTGCTAAACAAAGACTAAACAAACAAAAAAAACAATGCCCCGGTGTTGTGGCGGGTACCTGTAGTCCCAGCTACTCAGGAAGCTGAGGCAAGAGAATTGCTTGAGCCCAAGAGTTTAAGGTTGCTGTGAGCTATAACACCATTGCTCTCTACCCAAAGCTGTTGGGTATATACATAAAGGTAGAATTTCTGGGTCATATGGTAATTCTGTTATATGTTTAACTTCTTTAGGAAGTACCAAACTGTTTTCCAAAGTGGCTATACCACTTTACATTCCTACCAGCAGTGTGTGAGAGTATTGATTTTGTAACCAGGAAAGGAAACTTGCACACACAGGTTCTTCAAAACACACCAAACAAGAAAAAACTTTTATGCAATAAAAAAAAGGATAAAGTCTTTCATGTGCTACAACATGGATGGACCTTGAAGACCCTATGCTAAGTAAGAAGAGGAGTTTGGTGGGGGGCAGAAACGGGGAATGACTGCTCATGGTTAAGGGGTTTCTTTTGGGGATGTTGAAAGTGTTCTAAAATTAGATAATGGTAAAAAGCTGTGCAACTGAGAATATATTACAATCACAGAACTGTACACTTTGAATGGACGACTTTTCGTAGATCTCAATTAGAGCTATAAAACAGCAGTTTTTTGTTTTGTTTTGTTTTGCTTTAGAAAGAATTTAAGGAAATTTTAATATTTTCTACTGGATGGTAGAGTAAGTCAGAACTTATTGGTAATTTTGTTGGGAGTGATAGTATTACAGGATGGGTGTTATAAGTCCTCATCTGCTATAGGTAGAAAATGATCTTCAGAGAAATCTGTGATGTCCAGACCCCTACCTGCCTCCTGGTACTTCCTCTCTCCTCTGTCTTCTTGGGGACAACCCAGGGACCAAATATCCTGAGCAGGAATCACCCTCATACCGATACAGGTAAGAACAGGGCAAGGCCCAGAAAAGATGGCAGAACCTTATGGGCAGCTCCACTGGCAAGGGCTGGACATGAAAGGAGAAACATTCTTATCTTATACTGGGGTACTGCAAATGGCAGCTGATGGCAAACCAGCAGGTCAGCATTTCATGCTGAGGCCCTCTGGTGAACCATGCAGAGGCAAGGTAGTGAGGGGACACCTACATTTGAGTGCAATATCCACAGTCCTTCTTCTGGATTGTGGACCCACAATCAGGCTCTTCCTGGAATTCCTCACCTGGAGTTGAGCCTTATGCCCAAGGAAATCCAGACAGGGGAGTCAAGGCAGCACCACAGACTTGAAACCTTTTGGAAATGAATGATGTTCACAGTGGTGATTATGGCACATTTATTCAAGTTCCACAGTTAAACAGGTACCCCAAAACACTAATATTAAACAGTTACTGATTTTGTGACCAGGAGAAAGGAAACTTGCACACACAGGTTCTTCAAAACACACCAAGCAAGAAAAAACTATTATGCAAAGAAGAGTTCCTATGCCAACTCTTATGACTAGAAAGGTGGAAATCTATGCTCCATCTCTTTTGTGAGAGATCTTCTTTGACCAAGTTGATTCAAGATAGACACGTGTGGTAAGCTGAATCATGGCCACACAAACATGTCTATATCCTAATCCCTGGAACCTGTGAGTGTTATCTTATATGCAAAGGAACTTTGCAGATGTTATTAAGGATCTTGAAATGGGGAGATTATCCTGGTGGGCCCAACATAATCAACATCAGTCCTTATAAAAGAGGAGCAGGAAAGTCAGAGTCAGAGAAGACAGCAATGATGCACTTGAAGACAGAAGAGAAGGCCATAAGCCAAAGAATACACATGGTGACTAGAAGCTGAAAAGGTCAAGGAAACTAATTCATCTCTCAGAGCCTTCAGAAGGAAACAGCCTTGCTGACATCTTGATTTTAGCTGAGTAAACTGATTTTGGACTTCTGACCTCCAGAATAGTAAGTTTGTGGTCGTTTGTTATAGCACCAATAGGAAATTAATACAGGTGTGGGCTCAGCGCCTGTGGCTCAAGCGGCTAAGGCGCCAGCCACATACACCTAAGGTGGCGGGTTCGAATCCCCAG